GGCAGCCGTGGGGCGAGGGACAGGTAACTGCCACTTTCCTCCCTGGCGCGGTGTGTCCCGTCGTGGAGGTTTGCCACTGTGGAGCTGTGGGAGGGGGGTGGGATGGAGTTGCATTTTTGGGATCTTCACTCTGTAGTTTTGCTGCCTCTTGTAGGTTCCACCCCCAGCCGCACCGGTGGATTTCTGGGCACCACCAGCCCAGGGCCGATGGCAGAGCTTTATGGAGCCGCCAACCAGGACTCAGGGGTCAGCAGTTACATCAGCGCTGCCAGCCCGGCCCCGAGCACCGGCTTTGGCCACAGCCTAGGGGTGAGTGTACCCTACACAACCAGCGGAAGGAGCTGCATCTCCCCCTGGTGATGGAGGAGAGCAGCAGTGGGTGGGCCAGTCTTAGTCCACAGCCTGCCTTCTGGCGTCTGCCGTGCCACCACTTAGCCCCAGACTGCAGATGGCTGGTGCAGGATGCAGCAGCTGACTTGGAGCCTGCATCCCTGGGCTCTGCTGGTTCTCCCTGGCTACCACTCAAGGTCCTGATCTTCAGACCTTTTCCTCATCTGCCCCAGACTTCCCAAAACCCTATTCTGGCCCTGACAGTGTCCTGTGGGGTGATGTGCTCTTAAGATCTGGCACCTCCAATTGAAACTGGCTTTTGCAGCATCTGGGCCATGACTGAATTTGTGGTGGTAGTAATTCTCCTTCATTCTTCTTTTGTTCGTTTAAGAGGGGGTTTAAATGTTTGGGTTTTTTCACAGGGTCCCTTGATTGCAACAGCTTTTACCAATGGGTATCACTGAAGCTGGGGACCAAGGAGGCAGGAGGTAAGAGAGCTTTGAACAGGAAGGAGTAATGAGTGAAGTTCTGAGCTGGAGTTTGTGCTTGGGCTCTGGTCAGGAGCTGTGGATGCTACCATAAGACTTGCTGGCCTGACTCAGCCTGCAGGAGGAGTCCTGCCACCAGCCTGGAGCTCTCTTTTGCACCAGAGGCTGGGCAGGTTGGGTTCCTACCTTATGGTCTCCAAGCTGGGAGTGCTGTGGAGAGAGCTCTTCATGTCTGGGTGCAAAGGGGAAGGAAATGGGAGCCCTGACAGAGGAAAGGTCTGCAGGGTTTGCCAGAATCACAACCCAGTGGTGATCCTGAGAGGTAAGCTTGGCTGGGGAAACCTCCTCTCTGCAGTTGGTTGTCCTCAGTGCTGCTGAGACCACTGTCTCTGGAGACAGTCTCCGGTTTACCTGTTTTGTCTGGGATAAGAAGTCTCATTGGTTCTGTTTCTGGTCCTCAGACCTGAGAGGGAACTGCTGGATGGTGTCTGTTTTGCAAACCTGGCTGAAGTTAGTTGGCTTAAAAATAAAATTAAAAAAAAATAATAATACATTTTTCAAAAAGGAGGGCAAAATCTTGCAGGGAAGTGTCCAGGCATGTGGCAGCTTGGCAGGGCTGAGCCGAGTGCTGGAGAAACAGCTGCATCCCCCATGTCACCACCCTCCTGGGGGCTGGGAGCACCACAGGTGGGGGCAGGCAGGCTGTGGTGGCTGGGGCCTTGTTTGCCATTAAAGATGGAAGCACCCCTGTTGTGCCAGCGAGATGCAGAGCAAGTCTGTGCTGGGCATGGCTGGGTATCGAGTGTTCCCATCAGACCGCACGGAAAGCAAACCCCAAGAGAGGAGCTGTTGGTTGTTTTAGATCCTATCCTTCCTTCCCCTGCTGTGTCCTGCAGATTCCCCAGTGACCTAACGGAGGACAGCGGCTGGAGGATCTGGTGAGCCTTGGGGGATGAGCCAAGGTTCCCTTTCTCTGGAATCAAACTGCACACTGCCGGCCGGCTGCCAGGCTCCTGCCGCCCTGCCCTGATCTCTCCCTTTGACCAGACCACACTGGACTGAACCCGAGGAGATCATCTCGCTTTCTTACTAACCACCGACGGTTTACGCTTCCCCCTCCCTGCCCCCAGCCCACCGAGTCTTCTTTTATTTATTTTATTAGCTGTTAGGTTTATTTTTTTATTTTATTTTTTTATCTTTTTTGGGGGGCTACCCCTTCTTTTTTTGTTGTTTTGCTCTTTCCCGAGCTAGTAGACATATTTTATGAATTGGCTTTGTGATTGTGTTAGGTAGTTTTTATTGAGGAGTATTTTTATTTGGCTTTGAAACTGTTTTGAATATTTTCAACTCTGTTGTTGTCGTCAGTGTTTTTAAAGCACGGTATGTAATAAGAATGCAGTTCTGAAGGGAAGAAAAGAGACAGAGAGAGCAAAGGCTGAGAGGAACTGATGTATTTCTATTTTTTTTAAAGAAACTGTTTTTAATTGTTTCTGTTTTGTAAATGTGAGGCTTTGAAAAGTGTGAAACTCCAAGGATCCGAAAAGTTGGACATCGCTATGGAACAAAACAAATGTATATTTTGCTAAGTGAAAAACACTATCCTTACAGCTGAAAGATTTTTTTTTTTCCTTAGATTTAGTTTTATGTGGGGTTTTCTTTCTCCTCCTGTATAATATGTAAATATTGTGAGCTGAACCTGGCTGCCTCCTGCAGCCTGGCTCCAAGGAGCAGCTCCAGGTCCTGGACTTGGTGCCGCAGTGTGAGCAATACTCTCCAGCAGAATCCTGACAGGACTCCGTTCTTTTTTTGTACACCTTTTACTGTAAGATTTTAAGACCTCTGATGAGATGAAAGGGGGGTGGGCTGGGTATGAGATGTCTCAGCCACTGGCTGTCTTGCTGAGCGGGTTAAAGCTGCTTCAGATCGCTCGATGTACAGACTCCATCGCTGGACTCCGTAGTGCCAGCCTCTGGCTGGGCTGTAGGTCAAGGGCTTTACTGCCACTGCTTGTCTTGGTTACTTTGAAAGGAATTCACTCTCCAAACACTGTCGCTTGTGTCAAGATTTCCTGGGAAAAGGGGGTTCCTCCTCTGGAGGCAAGGGTATCTGAGGGGGTGTTGGCCAGGGCCAGGGGGAGGTTTGGGTGGTTGTTCTCTGAAGGGCAGAGCGTAGGGTTGGGGAGTCATTAACAGGGGAGAAAAGCATTAGGGTGGTGATTTGGGGGCGGGTTAAGGGCTTCTCAGGGATTATATGAATTATAGAATTGCAGCTTCCCATTTGCTTTACTCTGTGTTCTGAAGACTGTGGGAATTTGTCCATTGTCCTGTGCGGGGTTGGTCTGGTCCCTTCTCCAGAACCTGCTGGGGCTTCCCCTGGCACGATCCAGGCCCTGCTAACAAGCCCCTGCCAGGGGAGGCCTCCAGCAGGAGCACACGGGGCAGGTTTGGGTCCGGATTTCAGTGAACCAAAGACCTTGTTAAGGGGGTGATTAAGCCTTTCATTAAGATGCAGCCAAACTCTTTTCCCAGGGAAATAACAGCTTCATCTTAAGTTTTAAAAATCATTCCCTCTCTTCCCCCAAACTAAGCCCCCTGTAAGGGAGAAGGGCATTTAGAAAAGGACTGGGAGGGCCACAGTGCTCAAGGGGCCCTTCTTCTCTTCCATCCCTCCCTCCCCCATCTGCCAGAGCTTGTCCTGACCTGGGCGATGTGTTTGGAGAGTTCTGTTTAGCTAAGAGGGTACTTAACAGATTCGTACTGAAAACACAAAGCAATAATTTTTGTTACTGAGACAAGAGTCTGTATGTCTGTTTTTTTAAATATTTCCTAATTAAAGAAGAGCTGCATTTTATTGGGTTTATTTTTATTCTATATACTTCAAATTTGGGTCTGCGGCCAGCGCTTTCCTCCCTCCTGGTGTATGCGCTGAACTGCTGCCGTGCCCCCTCCAGACACCCGAGGCCAGCTGTGCTGCTGCTGGGCTGGGATTCCCTCCCTGCCCAGTGCTGCCACTGCCTGGAGACTGGGGCTCCGGTTTCAGGGTGGGCATTTTTTTTAAAAGAAATAAAGCTGTGTTTTTAAGCCAGTAAGTTATTACACTCCAATGTTTGTTCTCTCCACACCTGTAACCCTTTTTCCAGATTTCAGTTTTAAATTCCTAATAAATTATTTGAAAACTGTCTTTTTCTGTTTTTATTTGGGGGTGGGAGGTTTTCAGATGAAGGTGATTTCAGGTGAACTTGAACCTGGCAGGAGTCACATCCTGCCATTAGGATAAAAGCCCCAAGCAGTGCTTGGACTCTGTGTTCTGCTTCCAGATCTTGGCAGTGTCCCAGTTTATGATGTGAGGCAGATCCGATTTTAAGAGAGGTTGTGTCTCTTCTTTACGTTAACGATCATTTGTATAGATACATGTAGATTCAAGACAGGAGGTGGTGGTGTGGTGCTTAGAAGCTTGGTTCAGATGCTCTGGATTCAATGCTATGGTGGTTCTAAGAAGCTAGATGTAAGAAAGTAAAATACGGAGATGGAAAGGGAAGAAAAGTCCTTAATAGACAACACTATGAGAGAAAGGTGAATTCTAACAGTGTAAAATAGTCGGGAATTATGTGCAGCAAATCTTAATTACAGAGAATTCTTAACAATTACCTAAGGCTCAAGCCTGTATGTTTAGGAACTGGTTGTACATTGGGATGTCCTCAAAGGACCAGTGCCTTTTGTATGCTGCCCAGGTTGGGGGAAACTAAAAATAGCATTGGTGGAGAAATCTTAACCCTGCTGGGATTTTTCTCATGAGGCAATCTCATAATGCTCACATGATTACTTTCCCACACTTGGTGATTCTCTTGTTGAATTAAAATGTACAAAATCCAAGATACGATGGTATTTTTTATTTATGACTTAAAAGACTTACTGGAATTTTTCTTTGCAACATCAATAATAAAACAGACTTTGAGAAGTGAGGAAAAAGGACCACGGAGTCTTAAGGTTCACTGGTAAGAGAACAGAGGAATAATAATTAAAAAAGAGTAAAGATGGCAAAAGTAGCAAAGGAGAAGGGAGTTGAGTGGATACTGGAGGGAAAGTCAGCAGAGTGATCTGCGGGCAAAAGATTAAATCCTTGTTTCTGAGGTAACTGTGGTATAGACTGTCCTTTACTGATATTAGCCTTTAGTGTTTGTTCAATGTTCTCACCATTAGGATATGAGAATCTTGAATCTATAACTCAGCATGTTTGCTTCCCCTCTGAGTGGGGAATCCCAGAGAGTCAGGGCGCTTGTGAGAGATCAAAAACATGGGAGTAGGTCTGGTTGTTGATGAGCATCTCTGCCTTCAACAGTCCTATGGCGTTGTCATCATTCTATGGATACTATGGGCACCATGGCATAGTTTCAGCCACCATGAGGGGGAAGATGCCCCATTGTCCCCTATGGAAACATGCATTTGAACCTGCTGAAGGGTGGTGAACCCTCAGCTTCTTCAACCAGCACTCTGGTATATTAGGCTGTTGTGGAAACGTGGGCTTTGCCTTTTCCTCTGCTGTTTAAACTGAAGGCTTCCTTGGTGCTTTAGAAAGAAGTACTCTGTGTGTTAGAAGCCTCTCACTGTGAAGTGAGCAGTCCAGGATCTATATCTTGAGCATGTAAAAAGGTCAGACCTGTAGCCCTGACAGTGTTAGAGCCTCTGGAATCTGAATAGAAGTGCAGTATTTTGGACTTAGCCCTGGCAGGAAGGTTTTTCTTACCCATTTTTTGATCTTATTTCACGGTTCCCAACTCTCCTCATACCTTAGAGAACCAAAAGGCCTAACTGGGTTCTGCTTTGGTGCTGGAGAAACTGCTGTTTCTGAGTTACTGAAGTGTGCTGTGTGTGTTGAAACTTCCATACCCAGTTCATTTTCACTGTAAATCCCTTAAGGTCATGTAAAACCAGATGTTATTCCTTGTGTAAGCCAGATACAACAGCTTTCCAGGTTGCTTGGCTCCTGTTTATTGCCTGGTGGTACCAATTCCTCCTCTATGGTTTCAAAGTGAAAAACGGCTTGAATTTTTTTTGTTTCAGCTCACGCCAAGTGGCCATTTGGGAAGAGTGGATGACCTGTACCTGTACAGTTCTGTGAATTAGGCCAGAAGAATCCATGGAGAGATACAGGATTAACAATAAGTGGGAGAGCATTAAAAGAGGATGCCAGTATTAGTGGGATGGATATTAGTGTGCCACCAATTTCCAATGTAACTGCCATGCTGCTGCTATTTCTTAAAATACTGCTTTAAAATGTCCAGATCTTTCTGGCTGGCTTGTAATAACAGCATTCAAAGAATTTAATAGCAAAAATCTAGAGAGTAAATATTTGCCTTCCTAGCTTTCAAATATTGAACTCCACTGGCCTTCAAGGGGTCATGTCACAGTCTGCTGCCCACAGCCTCCGATGGAAGAAGTCTGCATTTAGTAACACAAATATTGGCTTGTTTATCTCATACCCCTGTCAAGGTGAGCTTGTTCTATAAAGAGCTGCATTTTTTGCTAGCAGCGGTCTCTTTGTCAAATCCTCAAGAATGAAGTCCCTGTCCCTGCTTTTCCTGCTGTTGGGTGTGTAGCTGGTTGTCCCAGCACCCTCCCGGACTGGTAACTCCATGCCTGTCTCTAACCTTTGCCTCTCTCCTCAGCAGGTGCAGCCAGTGCTGCTGTCTCACCCCGGGCTGTGTGGGAGCTCCGCAAGATGATCAAGTGCACCATCCCGGGCAGCCATCCTCTGCTGGACTTTGGTGACTATGGCTGCTACTGTGGCCTGGGAGGCAGTGGGACTCCAGTGGACGAGCTGGACAGGTTGGAAAGACTCTGCTTTTATAAACCTCTTCCTTTGCTTGTGCTTCCACTGTTCTGCATGCCAGCTTTGTCACAGCTGGCCCTGCCTTTAAGTGTTCACAACATTCTCTGGCTGCTGTGGATGAAGCTTTCTCTGAAAGACTGATTCAAGGATACAAGGGTGTTTATTATCACACCTTGATGCCTTATTACTAAGATCAAATCTAATCCCAACAACTGTTTCCAGTGGCAGCTACACTGCACTCATTCTAGCACTGTTTGTTGCAGCAGTGCTGTGCCAGCAGCCCAGACAAAGCTCCGTGCACACTGCCCAGTGCAGGACCATTAGCATGTGCAGGGCTGAGCTGCTAATACACTTGTGCTACTGTGTTTGTGTTTTACAGGTCAGCTGAGTTTGCATTTATCCTATTTTCTGATCTTTTCCTCCTTGTTTCCCAGGTGCTGTCAAGTACATGATCACTGCTACTCACAGGCAATGAAACTAGCCTCATGCAAACACATCTGGGACAGCCCCTACACAGAGGTGTACAAATTCAGCTGCTCCAAGGGGGAGATTACCTGTCACAGTACGTCTGCTTCCATGTCACTTTGTTTCACGCGTTGCTCCCATCCTGAAGGAATGGGGCTGTGTTACACTCGGGAATTCTGTGGCAGGTTCAGTGCCAGTTCCTGCTGGGGGGGCTGATTGTTGAAATGGGGCACCTCACATGGGTCCATATAGCGTGTAATTTCAGTTTATGGAAGATTTGTGGTATCAGTATTTAAGGAAGTCTCTCCCCTCTTCAGGGGATCGCTTCCCTGAGGTACTTCTCTGGGAGTGCCTTTACTGGCAGGATTTAAGAGCAGCACACTAACTGGGAAGCAGCTTCTGCCAGGCATCTCCCAACGTGACGGTGCTTTTACAAGGCTCTCAAATGCAGATAAATTGCAGTTAGGCTGGCAGAGCTGCAGGGAAGGAAGGTGCAAGGAGACGGCTGGTCCCAGAGCAGAGTTTTAGCAGGGAGATGCACGTACACCCCCAAAACCACAGCAGCAGTGACACCCTGGCAGCAGCAACTCTTGCCTGAGTCACTGCCAGGCCTGGTGAAGCAGACGCAGGCTCTGACCGCTCCCGCTCTCTCCTCCAGGCAAGAACGACGAGTGCGAGATGTTCATCTGCAACTGCGACCGCGCCGCTGCCATGTGCTTCGCCAAGGCGCCCTACAACCCTGCGAACAAGAAGCTGGACACCAACAAATACTGCAAATAGTCCCCTTGCCCCTCCGGACCGGGCGGCCTGTCACTAATAAACGCCTTGTCCCACCGCGCTCCTGTCCCTGTCCTACCGACCCC